ACAATCAACAACTACATTCAAATCTTAAACTTGGGGGAATTCATTACTTTTATCTTAAATTTCTGTCAAAAGTTTAAAAAAAAAGGTGGTTTTCTGCACTCCAAGCTAATAATGTTTTATTAATGCTACCAATCTGTAACTCTGTAGCTAATTTTTAATTCCATTATATAATTCTCTTATTCATAACCTGGGGCAGTTTTTGCATATCAGGCTAGAGGTTATAAAAGAACATGTCTACCAAGTGCAAACTCAGCCTTAAATTAATCAATCCCATTTATCTTTGTAATAGATCCATTCTTGGTTAAGAAAATGTATTTTTTCATATGTACTACATAATTTTTGTTATTACTAACTATAGAATAGGTAAACTATTTCTATTAACAGAAGAGCAGATAAACTAAATTATGGCCAATGTTGTCTGGTATACCACACAATTCAATTGTAAAACATATTCTGATGTAAAATATTTTGTTACTTTTTTTCTCTGAATGATTTAACCCTGCTCAAAGACAGAGAACTGGACTAAATCTTTCATATTCTCTTTGAAATCCAGACAGTATAAATTTTAATGATTATTGGTGTAGGTACTTAGGATAAATCATAATCGCTTTAAGACAACATTAAGGTTTGAAATATAATCTATATAATCTTGAAAAGGCATGATATAAAAATATTGCTTTATGTCAATGTAAAGTAACCTTTATCCTAGGCAAAATGCTTTACTGAAATACCGTATGTGAGTCACTGAATGTAGAAGAGAGCCTCTAAAATGGCCTCCAACGATCCCCACCACTCTTGTATTCACCCTTTCGTGTAATTCTCTCCCTTTGAATGTCCGATGGCCGCTAGTTTTCGCTTTAAATGAATATAGTAAAAGTGATGGGATGTCCCTTTGATATTTGGTTAAGAAAAGAATGTGGCATCCATCTTGGGTGCTTTCCCATGTTCTCTCACTCGCTTGCTTTGAGGGAAGGCAATTTCCTTGTTATACGCTGCCAGATGGAGAAGTCCATGTGACAAGAATCTTAGGGACACCGTAACCTAACAGCCAGGAATTAAGGTCCACGTGAGTGAGCCTGGAAGTGGATCTGCCCCCCCAGAGAAGCCCTTGCATGAGACAGCAGCCCTGGCTGACAGTTTGACTGCAACCTCCTGAGAGACCTTGAGCCTAGACACACAGCAAAGCCCCTCACAGATTCTTGATTCAGAAACTTATGAGATAATAAATGTATTTGTTTTAAACTGCTTTGTGTACAATTTGTTATACACCAAAAGCTAGTCAGAGTCCTGATTCTAATGATACGTGCCGAAAAACAGAATAAAGAAATGTGAAAAAATACGTGTTGTATGGTCTTCAATGAGAAGGAAAAGCACTGTTTTTCAGCAAAATAAATAACCCCAGAAGATGCTTTTAAAACATGCCAGACTATTTAAATGTAACTATTTTGAAAAATACAATTGAACATGTGTGCCAAAACACAAATGTAATCATGCCAATACCCTCTTTAAAAGGGAAGTGCATTCCATGTTCTTAGAATAGCATTTAGAGACACTTCTATAGCCTAAATCCCTGGTATGGCACAGCCTATGCTACCCTGTCTGGATTTATCCTTAGCCAGTCATGTCCTATGCACCAATCCCAGTGAAATTTTACATGTTAATGTCCTAATTTCTTCACAACTTTAGGGTTCAGCTTCACTGCTTCTGAGAAATGTCCCTAAGCCAGAGGCTCTCACTCCTGCTCTGACCCACACCTGTCACTTTCGCCTTAGGTGTTTCTCTTCTGTGCCTCCTCTATGGTATCATGTTATCACTGCATTTATGAAACTGCCTATGTAACATGAAAATAAACTGATTTGCATTAAAAAATTAACTATATATTTCCAATTTTGAGATAGTAGAGTAAAATTAATCTCTACCTTTTTCTCCTATAACTTTCATAAAATAACAAAGGCAATAAGAAATATAAAAGGAAACTCTATCATCAGTAAAATCAAGAAGCAATATATATAAAGAAGAGCTACCAAAAGTAGTGACTATTCCACCAGGGTTAGAGAAGTTATGGATACAAGGTACTTAAAGATGTAGATTTCAGAGAAGGCCAGGTGCAAAATTCCTAAAAAAATAGGTGCCACACCCTGAGGAGAAACAGAAAAAACAGCAATGCCTTCCTTGCTCAGAAAAATAAGATTGTAGAGCAAAACTTAACTGTGGCATATTCCCTGGACTACACCATGGAGGGGCAGAAGAGGTAGAACTAAATGAGGAAATTCACAGAGATGCCATCTCTGCCACAGATCTCTAAGCAGGAAGAGAGTGTATAAGTGACAAGCAGTCTAGTAACTGCCAATCATTGTCAACTGAAAAAAAAAAAAAAAAACTAAACCAGTTCACATACACAGAGACATACACATTATCATGCAGAGCTATACTCTCAGCCAAGGAGACCTCCACCCACCCCCAGAGCACTGCCCTGGCCCTTCCCCAACACTGCCTTTTTAATACCCCATCCTAAGATAAAAATGATGACAAAAATAAAAATAAAGAAACTACACATAGTCTCTTAACAATTGCCACAAGCATAAAAAGGAGGTAAAGGATTAAGAAAATTAAAATCACTGATGGTGAATATACACCTGAAAAATGTGACAATCAATTACCTCCTTAAATTAGTAGAGATGATACAAGAGCTTATAAAAGAAGACAACAGGAAGAAATGAAAACCAGTGGATACATTTTCAGCTGATGGACTTAACTATTCAGACCATCTGCTCTCTCCCTCTCTAACTTGAAATACATGGAACACGTGTTAGAAAATAATTTTGGACTCATCTGGATACTTAGCCAAACTCAAACCCAGGAACTTATACAATAAATGTGGAAGCTTAAAGTTAGAGAGGTAAAAGGTAGAGCTGGACTTCTACTTTTTGTTTATTAGAAACAAACGGAGGCTGTTCTGTCTAGTCCCTGAACTTCACTGCCTACCAACTTGCAGCCTCGAGAGCACACATGGCCCTCCAGATCCCCAAGTGTAGCCCCTTGACTGAATCCAAACTTCACAGAACAAATCCCTTTATTAAAAGGATTTGTTCCATAAAATTTGGATTCAGTCAAAAGGCTGCACTCAAGGATCCAGAAGGCCACATGTGGCCCCAAAGCCTCAGGTTCCCCACCCCTGCATGGGGCAACACTGTGTTATACACGTAAATCTGGAGCCCTAAAGGGAACAAGGTTGAGGTTGCTGTGAGCTAGGCTGACGCCACGGCACTCTAGCCCGGGCAACAGAGTGAGACTCTGTCTCAAAAAAAAAAAAAAAAGGAAAAAGATGATTCAAGAAAAAGCATGGAAATTTTTTAAATTAGAATAAAAAATCAGACCATATATATGAGTAATCAAAGGAAATGTGAAGAAATTAAAATAATCTATTAGAGACAGGGACTACCAGATTGAAGTATTCAGCTACATGCTGCTTCTAAGAGACAAGTTAAATGATCAGCCCTATTTGTGATAGGGGGAAAACACTAAAAAACAAACATCAGTGGTGAACCATATATTAATTGTGTTTTAAGTTCAAATAATGAATTAAATATAGCAGCTAAATAAATAAGATCTATGTATAGAAACTGAATTTTAAAACTTAATGTTAAGTTTAAAAAAAGTTTAATTATAGAACATTTATACACAGTATGATGGCATTTATGTAAAATTTAGGCTAAATAAAATATTATTATATGTTATTTCTTTATACATAGTAGTTAAAATAGAAAAGCATTAGCTGAATATGTAACACAAAACTTTAGATAGTGATGGTCTCTAAGTATTTATATTAATTTCTATACATTTCTGTATTATATATAATTTCCAAAAAGGAAAAAAAAGGATAAGTAGATAGAACTAAAGAAACAATTGAAAAGAAAAATAAAGTCATCATAGAAATGAAGGTCAGATTGGAAAAAGCAAAAAGAGCAAATATTGCTTAAAGTACAAAAAAGTATATTGACAGCAGGTTTAAAAAAAGTGATAAAAATGAAATGAAAAGAGAAAAAAAGAAAATAATAGACATGGAAAAACAGACATTGAAAGAGCCAAAAAAAAAAAAAAGCCATAATAATAGGTAAACCTAAGGAATAAGCATGAAACAAAAATAAATATTTAGGTTGGTGCAAAAGTAATTAGGTTTTAGCATTGCTGGATATTTGTCCTTTGATATTGGAATACATTCTTAAATGTGGTTATGTTATACATCATTTTAATGCACATTTCTTGCTTTATTTTTTTTTGCTAATAACTTAGTATTTGCTGTTTATTTTATATTTATTTTAGACTATGGAAATGATGTTAGACAAAAATCAAATTCAAGTGATTTTCTTATTCGAGTTCAAAATGGGTTGTAAAGCAGTGGAGACAACTCGCAACATCAACAATGCATTTGGCCTAAGAACTGCTAACGAACATACAGTGCAGGTGTGGTTCAAGAAGTTTTGCAAAGGAGACGAGAAGCTTGACAATGAGGAGCACAGTGGCCCGGCCACCGGAAGTTGACAACAACCCATTGAGAGCAATCATCGACACTGATCCTCTTACAACTACATGAGAAATTGCTGAAGAACTTAAGGTTGACCATTCTATGGTTGTTCAGCATCTGAAGCAAATTGGAAAGGTGAAAAAGCTCGGTAAGTGGGTGCCTCATGAGCTGACCAAAAATCAAAAAAATTGTGTCCTCTTCTCTTATTGAACGCAACAATGACGAACCATTTTTCGATCAGATTGTGACACGTGAGGAAAAGTGGATTGTATACAACAAGCAGCAATGACCAGCTCAGTGCCTGAACCTAGACAAAGCTCCAAAGCACTTCCCAAAGCCAAATTATGTCTGATAACTCATATCAAATAAACTCTTAGGTTTTTCCACTAATATAACTGTACATAGGTTGCAAATATAGGTGGTACTCAGATTTATTATATTACAAAGCTAAACAACTAATGATTGTACTACTCACCTAATTGCATCATTGGTCTCTGAAACAGCTCTCAGATACTCTTTGAAATAAAAATAATTAAAGAGGTATTTCCGAACCTTATAACCTCGCCATCGTCTCTGAATCTACAGATGTAAATAAAAAGATAAAATGTGCCATTGAATATTTTTAGTAAAAACATTAATAGCACTTCAAAATCAAGGTAATTGTGTCTGATAACTCATATCAAATAAACTCTTAGGTTTTTCCACTAATATAACTGTACATAGGTTGCAAATGTAGGTTGTACTCAGATTTCTTATATTACAAAGATAAACATAATAATAGAATATTGTTCATTTATTTTAAAATATTTACAAATATTTATTTCAAAAAGTACTAACCTGTAAAATTAACTCTTGAAAGATTTAAAATCTATTTTACAAATTTCTATCATTTCTGCTTCCTGGGCAAATGGATTTTTTCTCATAACCAACTGGCTTAAAGATTGTACGTGGTCTCATAGAAATAAATTTTTTAAACGGGGTTTTTAAATTCAGCGGTATAAAAACCTTTAAACAAAATCTTGTCTTGTATCTTTATTATTACACTTTAATACTTCTTTAACAATAACAACAATAGATAAGATTTATTGAATTCTTATGTGCCAGGCAATATTCTTGTATTTATGCATTTAATCTTTAGAACACTTGTGTAAGATAAATACTCTTTACCTCATTTATAGATGAGAAAACAGCTAAAAAGAGGGGTTGCATAATTTTCCCATAATTATACAGCCATGATCATGGATCCAAGAATCAAATCAGGGCTTCAGAGAGAGCCCATTCTCTTAACCATTGCAATATAGAACTGGGAAGGAAGTGAACTGCAATTTTCAATGAATGAAATTTTTATTGACATGATCTGCTTTTTATATCGACAACTACAATGCTGACATTCAAAGGGTTTTATTTATCAGAAATGTAAGGTTTTTTTTCTTTTATGAGAGGAGTGTTACAAGACAATTTTTCATGGAGAGGTCAAGGGGTTGGGTGGAAGCAGAGCTCTTCCACCCGGTCCCTAACAGGGATTGAAGACCACAGTTCTAAATATCTTATAAAGCCTCAGCAATCATGAGAATCAATGTCTTTTAATCCTATTTTTGCTAATATAATAATATATTTTCTATCTTTTCTAATATCTCTATGAGAAAAACTCAAAACCAAAATAATAATGTGTTGTATTAATTTGTGGAAAAAAACAAATATTAGGAATATTAACTTAGTCTTGCATAAAGGTTTAACTTCATTCCCTAAAATTTTCCAACAGTTTACGTATCTATATGAATGAGTCACATATCATAAATGATTCTCTTTTTGGATATGAAGTCCTTCCAATTTTAGCACAGTTTGTTACACTAAGGAAACACACATCTTCTCTAAACCTATTTTTTTTTAAATAGCAAATGGTATTATAGAGACTATGCCCTAGTCTATTGGGTTTTATCCCCAAAGTCTACTATTTTAATTAAAGATGTTTAGTTTAAATTTTTTATAAGTATTGAAATATGTACATATGTATATATTAATCACACATGCAAATAAGCATTTCCCTAGCTTATCTAATTTAATCATTACAGCATCATTCTGAGGTAGGGATTATTATTATCCACATTTGATAGAAGAGGAAATTGATGTTTAGAGAGGTTAACTAATTGCCTAAGGTCATATAGCTGCTTGGATGGCTTCAATTGTTTCCGTATACTTTTACTGCATATACAGTAACAATTTTATTAAAGAAAAAACACTTGTAAATATATATACTGACAGGAAATCCATCACCAGCAATAGAAGTGATTCAGGTTGCATGGGAAATACTAGGATATCAAATCATGTTAAGGGAGAGGCTACCTACTACATGAAAATATTATTAAATTCTAAAGAAAATAAGATTAAATGTGCCAGAAAACATAAACAGTGTATTCTGGGGAACTGAGAGAAAAGAGGGATGATGGTGGTTTATGATTAGGTAACACCAGAATAGTGGGTATGTCCATTTCTGAGAAAAGAGGTCTGAAAGGAAAAAAACTGAAATTGGCTGAAAAATCTATGTTAAAATAGGAAGGGTTTCCTACAATTAAAAAGAAAAAATCCAAAAAGTTGGTTCCTTGAAAAAATAAACAAAATTGACATGCCTCTTGCTAAATTAATGAGAAGCAGGAAAGAAAGGACTCTAATAAGGTCAATCAGGAATGAAAAAGGAGAAATTACAACTGAAACCATGAAAATACAAAATATCATCTATGAGCTATAAAAACTTCTATGCACATAAACTTGAAAATGTGGAGGAAATTGACAAATTCTTAGAAACACACAGCCTCCCTAGCCTCAATAAGGAAGAAATAAAATTCCTGAACAGACCATTATCAAATACTGAAATTGAAGCAGTAATAAAAAAACCCTCCTTAAAAGAAAAGTCCCAGACTAGATGGTTTCACAACCAGATTTTACCAGACCTACAAAGAAGAACTGGTGCCTATCCTGAAGAAATTATTCCACAACATTGAGAAGGAAGGAATCCTCCCTAATAGGTTTTAGGAAGCCAATGTCACCCTGATACCAAAACCAGGAAAGGATGTAACAAAAAAAAAGAAAGCTACAGACCAATATCCCTTATGAATATAGATGCAAAAATTCTCAACAAAATCCTAGCAAATCAGGTGCTAATCAAGAAAATAATCCATCACAACCAAATGGGCTTCATCTCAGAGATGCAGGGATGGTTCAACGTATGCAAATCTATAAATGTAATTCACCACAGAAACAGAAGCAAAAACAAAGACCATATGATCCTCTCAATAGATGCAGAAAACGCATGCAACAAAATTCAGCTCCCTTTTATGATAAGAACCCTTAACAAAATAGGCATAGACGGGACTTACCTAAAATAATAAAAGCCACAGATGACAAACTCACAGCCAACATCATACCGAACAGGGAAAAATTGAAAACAGTCCCACTTAGAACTGGAACTAGACAAGGTTGCCCTCTATCACTGCTTCTATTCAACACAGTGCTAGAAGTTCTAGCCAGAGCAATCAGACAAGAGAAAGAAGTCAAGGGCATCCAAATGGGAGCCAAAGAGGTTAAACAATCACTCTTTGCTGACAATATGGTCTTATATCTAGAAAACCTCAAAGATTCTGCCATGAGACTACTGGAATTGATAAACAAATTCAGCAAAGTCTCAGGTTACAAAATTAATGTACAGAAATCAGTAGCATTCCTATATGCCAACAACAGTCAAACTGAGAATCAAATCAAAGACTCAATACCCTTCACAATAGCAACAAAGAAAATAAAAACCTAGGAATATATTTAACTAAGGAGGTAAAAAACCTCTACGGGGAGAACTACAAAACACTGAGGAATAAAATAGCAGAGGACATAAACAGATGGACATAAGCAGATGGAAAAACATACCATGCTCATGGGTTGGTAGAATCAACATTGTTAAAATGTCTATACTACTCAAAGCGATCTACAGATTAAATGCAATCCCTATTAAAATATCAATATCATTTCTCAAAGATCTAGAAAAAATAATTGTATGTTTCATATGGAACCAGAGAAGGCCCCACATAGCCAAAGCAACCTTAAGGAAAAAGAACAAATTGGGAGGCATCAATTTACCAGACTTCAAGCTATACTACAAAGCTATAGTAAACAAAAAAGCATGATACTGGCACAAGAACAGAGACATAGATCAATGGAACAGGACTGAGAAACCAGGTGTAAAACCATCCTCATATTGTCATCTGATCTTTGACAAAGCAGACAAAAACATACACTGGGGAAAAGAATCCCTACTCAATAAATGGTGTTGGGAAAATTAGATAGCCACATGTAGAAGACTGAAACAGGATCTGCACCTTTCACCTCTCACAAAAATCAACTCATGGTGAATAACAGACTTAAACCTAAGGCATGAAACTATAAGAATTCTAGGAGAAAATGTAAAATCTCTTACAGACATTGGCCTAGGCAAAGAATTTATCAAGCAGACCCCAAAAGCAATCATAGCAACAACAAAAATAAATAAATGGGACCTGATCAAATTAAAAAGCTTCTGCACAGCCAAGGAAACTATCAGGAGGGTAAACAGACAACCTGCAGAATTGGAGAAAATATTTGCATGCTACATATCTGATAAAGGGCTAATAACTAGAACCTACATAGAACTCAGGAAAATCAGCAAGAAAATAATCAAACAACCCTATCAAAAAGTGGACAAAGGACATGAACAGGAAATTTTCAAAAGAAGATAGACTAATGGCCAACAAACATATGAAAAAATGCTCAACATCTCTAATCATCAGGGAAATTCAAATCAAAACCACAATGAGATATCACTTAACATCAGTGAGAATGGCCTTTATGAAAAAGTCCCCAAACAATAAATGTTGGCATGGATGTGGAGAGTTAGGAACACTCATACACTGCTAGTAGGACTGCAAAGTAGTATAACCTCTATGGAAAGTAATATGGAGATACCTCAAAGAGCTACAAGTAGAACTACCATTTGATCCAGCAATCCCATTACTGGGCATCTACCCAAAGGCAAAAAAGACATTCTATAAAAAAGACATCTGCACTAGAATGTTTATAGTAGCACAAGTCACAATTGCAAAGATGTGGAAACAACCCAAGTGCCCATTAATACATGAGTGGATTAATAAAATGTGGTATATGTATACCATGGAGTTCTACTCAGCCACAAAAAACAATGGTGATCTAGCACCTCTTGTATCATGCTGTATACAGCTGGAGCCCATTCTACTAAGTGAAGTATCACAAGAATGGAAAAACAAGCATCACAAGTGGTCACCATCAAATTGTTATTAACTGATCAACACTTATGTGCACATATAGTAGTAACATTCATCGGGTGTTGGGCAGGTAGGAGCGGAGAGGAGAGGATGGGTATATTCACACCTAAGGGGTGCGGTGCGTAGGAGATAGACAGGCTTAAAGCTCTCACTCGTGTGGGGTAAAAGCAATATATGTAACCTAAACATTTGTACCCCTGTAATATGCTGAAATAAAAAATTTTTAAAAATCCATTGACACGGGCTTCTTCCCTCTTC